TATGTAAATACATTAGGCTGGTCAAGCAAGACAAGGCTTTCAGTAAAAGCATCCATGACCGAGTAACAGCACGATCCTTTAATTTGCAAATTCTTAACTTGTTTGGTCTTAGAGTTCACAGACCGATATTGAACGTTATCAACAATCAGTTTGAGCACAACTTCATCACCACTTTTTCTACAACCAACCAGTCTACAAATACTCCCTTCCAGGCATATTGCAAATAGTTTATCCCATGATTTGGCCACACCATACTCTTTCATCACCCACATGGTCATGTGAAGAAGCCAACCACAACCAACACTTTCTCTCCTCTCCTCAGAGCTTTCGAAAAATGCAAGGGACTCTCTGTACCTCGACACCACGCAATGTGGATCAGAACCGAAACATTTTTGTGTTCCAGCTTCTGGTGGTGTGGTTATCTTGCCGAATACTTCATCGGACATATCAAACGACCCAATGGAAATATTCTGGGTGTTCACGTTGACTTGAACCCAATGCAGAGCACCATTGACAAAAGCAGGCGGATGACGAGTGTCACGTTCATGATGATGACGATCATTACCGGTATTGAGAGTCTTCCAAGAGCCCTTGGCTAGCGACCAAATCTCATATTGACATGAGATAACTTTGACTCGTTGAAAACAAGACACTCTTCGTAAGACCTTATAGTCATTGGCACACCTGTCGTAGCCAAAGGCAGATCTTGCTTCTCGATAATCATATCCATGACAAAGGGTAACACCAGACTTGGGCAAAACCACAAACTTTCTGATGCTAGGGTTCCAAACTAATGTAGTCCAGTAAATGTCTTCCCCAGCAAGGCACACGAGCCCGTTACAAGTTCCGACAAACTCGGATCCCCAGGTTTGGTTTCTGGTGCGTTCGGCGTAAACTTTGTATGGATTGTCAAGATCGGTATACTCCCTAAGCGTAGATGATGATGCACGAGGGTCGTCGTCGTCCCTGTACAATGAGTAAAGCTCAACTTCAGGATTGTGAAGGAGGAGTTGAACGCCGTCGTTGTTTCGATGGTTGGATTCGATTAATCGGTTGATCAGATGGGTGTGGATGAAGGTAGGGCTTTTGATCATACAACTCCATGACTTGCATACTGCCGTGCACCCAAGCAGAGATTTGACGGGTAACCTTACCAAGATTTCGTATATGATTTCTTCGCGAGCCTTGCCCCATACAATTGGTTCCATCGATCCAATTCTCTGTGTTATTTGGGTCTGGGGTTTTATTTTTGGTCCTATAGGAGAAAGTCTTGGTCTAGGGAGAAACCTTATCCTTTTCTACGTTTCTTCCTATTTGGGCTCTACCAAATATATTTTGATATATTTTCATCCTTCAAAAGGAGGTATTTATAATACAAGAGTGTAAACTCTAGTAGGGTTATACAAGGAAACAAATAAACTCCTAATTACACAAGATTTGTACAAAAGAGAAAGAATTTCTGTTTTCAAAGTCCACTGTTGAATGTCATGGTTTGGATGCAAATAGGTGGTTGACCCCGCCAAAATTAGGCATGAACATTTTTATTCAGTGACGTTTATTAATAGAGGACCCCTTCAAACGACATTGATTTAAAATTATCCCTAATATTATAATAAGCACTGTTTTCAGTCCCTGAAGAAGGGAAAAGGAACCTCAGTGCCTTTTGAGCCTTTTTTAGTAGTGACGGATAAATTCAATACCTCTATCATCTATGCATACTTATTAATTGATTGGTATGGGGTGGATCCATTCAAGAGAGATGCCATTGCTGATTCCTTTAGTTATTCTAAAGTTTGAATTACACTAGTTAACTTTAATGAGAAAATAAAATAAAATCCATAGCACATGTATATAAATGACATATAAAGACATGCAAACAAATATAGATAATATTCATGTTTATTTTAGACAATGTACATTTGCGAGAAGGGTCAACAGTAAATATAGTTATAAACCAACTTGGATAACATAGATAAATATAAGGTTTTCAAAATGTTGAGAATGGTCAAGTGACCCTTGTGGGCCTTGATTGGCTCCACCAATGATGGTATACATCAGTCCTGCACATTGCTCTTCTAGCGGTTCGGTTTCAAGTAGCTTCATGCTTGGTCATGTTGCCTGTGTAGTTTGGTTCCTTTTTTCTTTTTTTTGGGTCAATACTGGAATTCATTGCAAGCCACAGAAAACAACCGAGCCCAAAAGGGATACAAGCAGTGAAGTTCTTTTTTCTTTTTTGGGGTCTGAAAAGCAGTGAAGTTCAAGCAAACATGCTGAACGACAAAAAAAAAAAGCATGCAAACAAACTCGAGGAGAGGAAGAGAGACGTGTGCAAACAGCTAAAACGTCAAAGGCCTCGATGCTTCCAGAATTAGCATACTGTTGTCAGTCAACAAGAAAAACAAAACTCATTCTTGCTACGAAGAAAAACCACAAAAGGCGTGAGTTGATTGCGATTGTTGTGCTAAGGAGGAGATGGTGTGTGACGACACTGGATGTGTTATTATTTGAATGGATTTTAAATTTTTAAAACGTTTTTTTTGTTGTTTTAATTTTGGCTGTTTCTTTTATTTATTATAGGAGTTACAAATTGTTTAATTTTCAGTTTTTATTTTCTATTCATTGCCACCAACTTTTCTGGTTAAATGTGTCTGGAGGTTACGAGTATTGGATGCCTATAAAAGACATCTCCTCCTTCATATTTCAACACACTACAATCGGATTTCTCTATTCTCATACTTTCATATATTCCATACTTTCTATATTATTTTTGGGCAACGGTTCTGTGGTTTGGAGATTTCTATCTGACTGTGAACGTGCTCATAGCGAACCTTAAGCCTGCGTATTGGGGTCGTATTTTGGAGTCTTGTAGACCGTCATTACATGCACGTAAGGATGCTACAAAGGCTTTAGGACAACGTCTTTGACGTGCTTTCACTATACCAGACTTGCTTTCTTAATCTTATCTTTTATTTATTTATTTATTTGTCTCTTTATTTTATATATTATTTATATCTAAAAGTTTTGTATAGGAATTTTATAGAAAAGGAAAATATATTTTCTTTTAATTACAAAAGTTTTTTACAAAAGAAGGAAAAACCACAATTTTTAATAACAATCTAAAGCCCTTGTATGCTAAAATTATTCTTACCGTATTTGTTGTTGCTATAAGTTTCTCCAAATGTAAATACTCTCTGTCTTCATTAGCTGCGTTTTTCCTATTATTGCTTGTCTATACGTTTTTCAAAACTACAGCTTTAAAGTCCAAAGTTAAAGTTTTTCAATTTAAAATAAATAAAAAATAAAAAAGGTGAGCAACACGTTTTCATAGTCAAGGCTTTAAAGTCCAACTTTAAAGAAAACCTTTTACCAATATTAAACCTCTAACCTAATTGGTCTGCACTCTTGTTTTTAAAAACTTATTAAAGTTATCATTCAAAACCTTAAATGCGACTCACAATAGCATTTACTTTAATTTTCGTTTCCCACTGTAATTTTACGTCCAAGTTAAATATAACCACATGAAGTGCTAATCCAACAATCCAACAGTTGCGGTATACAGTGAGCCAACTTATAAAATTTTGGGGGGGTGGTGTGGGGCGGGGTTTATGATAAGAATGGCTACCTTTATTCAAAACACTTTCAATCTAGACCACAAACTTGAAACAAATATGATAAGATCGTATCAAAGGGACGATCTATGAAGAGAGTTTTCAAGTTGAGTTCAAGTTAGGTGCATTTGATGTGCCATATGTGCAATAAGGAAAGTGATGACTCACTCAGACTTCTCTAATTAGGTCCACATCATCAATTCATCTTCATCCCCAAGTAGGACAAATTTAGAGTACATTATTTATGACTGCGAATTTCATGACAATGATCATGTCGGCTACCTAGTTTTTTTGTTTGATTCAGACAATGAAATCTGTATTATTGTAGAGTCAAAGGATTTAAGGATGCACTTGACTTTGGAGGAAGATTGGGGTATAGGGTGCAAAATATGTGGTCATAAATTATGGTCATATTCAATATAGTTGGTTCCCGATTGATTAACCTAAACAAGTTGTTTGACATTGGTTGTTAATATCTATTACAGCAGACTACCAGCAGTAAAGGAAATCAAAGGTTATCAAAGAACATCTGCTCCATAAATGTTGGCAGGAGATTGATGTTTGAACATAGCTTTCTCATCGAAATCTTATGTGGTGATGAGCAAGTTCAATTTTTTTTTTTCTCTAACAAAACATGTGTGAGAGGGCCCATGGGTAAAGGTTATGACTTCAATTGCGGAGCCAAAGGCCCAAAACATAAACTACACTAATATGTATCTTGAGAATCTAAATGACATAAAGGGCCTATAGGAAAATTTAAACTCAGCCCAGCAAACGCATTCGCAATCATATTTTGCTCTTTGCACGCTACGAGTATGCAAGTCCCAGCTTCTGCGTAGGGTTCCAGCAATACTCTTGCCAGCAGCAGAACAAGAAAAGCAAAATAGAAAAGAAGCGAATTCGAAGAAGCAATGGCACTATTGATGGAAAAGGGGTCTGAACCCCAGACCGAAAGCGAAAGAGATGACTGTGGGAACCGAATTAAATCATACCCTAGGTCAAATAATTCCTTCTATTTGGGGGTTATTTGACCTAATTGGGAACTACTCAACCTAATTGGGAGTTACTCAATTTAATTGGGAGTTACCCAATTAAATTGAGAATTACCTAATTAAGTTGGGAATTGATTTGATTCCTACCCCAATTCCCAATTAAATGAGGAGTTACCTAATTAAATTAGGATTTGATCTGATACCTACCACGATTAGGGATTTGATTTACTCTAATAAATCAAATCCCTAATTAATCAAATCAATTCCAAATATGGGAGGAATAATTCTCTTCCATCTATGGAATTATTCATCTGAAACCCTAATCTCCGAGACCATTATAAATACTTGGCTACGCACAAAGGTCAAGGTACGTCTAAATTCCTACTGAAACTCTGCAGAAATTATTTCTCACAAACCTTAGCCACCACTTTCTTTCTCTCTCTTACACAAGGCTCCGGCCACCACACACGGCTCCGGCC